CTTATTTATTAACCAAAAGCTTTAGAGTAAAAATATAGCTTAAAATAAAAAACTCGGCAAGCGCGGAAAATGTACACGATTTTCTGTATGTAAAGATATGTTAATATTCTTTAGTTCATAAGCAATACACTGTTCGTTGTTTGAGAAAACTTACGTATAACTTACGCCAGTTTTTGTTTTGTTTCTAGTAATTTCTGAATAGATATTAATGCATATGTATTGCATGGATCTCGATTGACTTACTCCATATTAATTTTTGAGTACGTAGATCGGCAAAGTCTTTACAAACAATGTGTCAATGGTATAGAAACATATGCATGGCAGACAACATGTTAGAGATTTTTCAAATTGCCTAACAATTTTTTCTAAATAAGGCTAAATAAAAATTCTTCCAAAGAATTATGTACAACAAAATATTTAAAACTAGCTAACTCAGAGAGTTTCGCCACATGCTGAAACTTTCCGGAGAGCAATTCTAGTAAGATGTATGAAAAAGTAGATATCTGAATTTGTTTATAAATAACGAAAACTTGTTACGGTCCTGGTGAATCAACGATGTATTAAATAATTTAGTCTAGCAAATATTTGGAAAATTTAGCATACTTATTCCTAATTTTAATACGTTGACTTGGCGTCAAATTTTCGACGATTCGATTCATGTATTTAGTTCATCGTTGGTATTGCACGTATCGAATATCACTGGTAAAAAAAAACGAATGCTTTTTAAAACAATTTCTAACTGTCTCTCCAAACTTTTAATATGAATCTAATCTGGTTTTTAGACTCATCTCGACTCCAGGACAAAATATACCTCATTAAGTGAATTTGAATCAAAACGGAGTGTAAATACGGTTTTCAGGAGAAGATATTTCCCTTTATGTGGCTAATGTATTTTTTGAACTTGATTCAAACAGCAAGTACACAAAAAAAAAAGAAGGATTACATTAGAATACTTATTTGAAAATCCAACTTCATTTTGTTTTTGTTTTCACCTATGTACATAAAATACTCTCTTAAGCATTGCTTTGGGGAACCTGCTACAACTTTGTCAATGTTTACAATGATACCAAACAAAATTATGCAAAGTTGTAGCGCTTGGTCATGACATATAAATGAGGTACCTACGTCATTATAGTGGCAGGCTTTTATTAACTCCGTTAGTCGAGATAGTTTTCTGAGTTCAGTGCATATACGAAAATGGCTTGAAAAAGTATGAAATTACCAAAAACCGCTTAGCCGACTATTTTTACATGTTACAATTTAAATAAGGCTATTGTATCTTTTAAGGATTTAAAGCTAAAATTATGAATTTAATATTTATGCTTAAAACGAATTGCTTTGCATCGTAAAGCACTTAATGTAAATATGTATATACTAAAGAATTAAAAAAATTTTGTAAAAATAACCACATAAATTAGAACATGAAAAAAAAAACAAAAATACTTTCTGAGAATCAATATATAAAATATAGCCACAAAAAGGCGTGTATTTCAATATTTCAAGATTTACATTTTCACATATTTTCAGCAAAGGGTTTTCGCAAAAGCGCCAAAGAATTGCTTTCAATGATAAAATTCATTGTTTTCTCTTTATCAATTTTGCGCATATCAAATTCCCTTCATTTAAATTGTACGGAACAAATGGGCCACAAAGACGTCGTGAAGCGTTTCGTAATTTTTCATCCCTTAACTACTACATTCTTGGACGCGCTACTCTCGTGTATATTTGATTCGTGGCTATCTAAGTATTAAGTAAATAAAATAAAATGTAGTTAAGGGTTTACCACATTTTCTAAATAACTGCCAATTTCGTTGAAAGAAAAATATATTTTATATAAGTCTATGTATAAAACTGTGACTTTTACCCTGGAAATTGAAAGCAATTTGTTTTTGTCAAAATATTGCCTTAATCAATCTAATCTGTTCAATACATGCCGCGAGTAGTTAAATAAATATATACGTAATAATACGGTGTATAATATATTTAGGGTATATGTACTACTTAGATATAAGTACGCACAAAATTTAAGAAATTCATATACAAAAACCTTATGCTGAATTTCCACTTGGCATGGACATTACAAAACAAAACTCTTGTCATTATGATTTTTGTCATTTAAAGCCCGGCATTAGTTATTTTTGCATGGTTCTACCAAGCTGCTGCGCTCTTCAGTCTTCTGCGACAACTTCTATTCTGATTTTGCTAAAATCGTTACTTTAGTATACAAGTGTATATAGTTACATATTTAAGTGCTTACTGCTGATAATCTAGAATTCTTTAAACTTTTAGTGTTCATCTCAAATTAAAAAGTTATACATACACGCATACCTTACCACCACTTTTTTTATGAAGTAGAATTTTCTACATTAATAAAAATATCTTAACAAATAATTATTATTTAAATAATAGTTTCAAACTTTGTACAGATTTTAGAAAAATTCATTAAAATTTCAAACTGTTTAATCAAAATTTTTAGGAAAATTTCAGGGGTGCAGTTTTGTAGCCCATTCAATTTTAGTATAACAATGTACAAATTTGAAGTGGCCGAAAGTTCCTTTTTTTTTGATTTTTTTTTTGTTGGCGGCTCTAGCGCATGCTTTTTATATGGGGGACAAAATTATCAAAAATCAACCAGAATTTTTAGCTACCTCAAACTTACGTTTTATTATACTAAAATTAAATGGGCTGATTGGTTAGTTAGAAATTTGTATGAAAACTTTGATACGTACTATTTCTTTGATTTTGTACAAAGTTGGTTTTCTTTGAATTATATAGATTTCTTTAAAGCATGAACTATATTTAAAAAAAACATTGTTTTTTATTAATTTACAAAATTCTACCTCATTTAAAATAGTGGTTGAAAATTATGCGTGACCACCAGTGTAGGTACATGTATTCCACTCATGTACTAAGTATGCATATGTATATGTACATAATTATATACACTTAATTACTACAGCACGAAGTCGACATTATTTATAAATCATTTTAAATACTTACATAAGTTGCATTGTTGTTTTCGTCCTAGAAGGGTGTGTGAATAGGCCTTTAAACTTAACGTAAGTTTTCAGTGCAAGAAATAGTTATGTTTGGGTAAAAAAATTTTATTTGAATTATTTAATATTATTGTTCTATAAGTAGACGGTAGTTAGATCCTCAATGCCATTTCGAAAAATGATGATACTTTAGTCTCGGTAAACAAGTATTACTCGAATTGAAATGATGTTGTTGGAACAAAGTTAAAATATTAGAATTTTTTTATGTAATTTTATTTGATTTCTGTGGCAAATGCTATGTACCCTAAATGTGTATGTAAAATATGTATAAGTAAAATCTGTGTACTACCAGCGTAACAACTTTAGCGGGGAACACATTTTCTTTTCTTTTAACTTATAGCAAACTATTATGCAAATATTAGATTTATAATTATCAAGATTATCCAAAAATGAATATCGATGAAAATTTACTTGAAACTTTCAAATTTCCAAATTCAACTGACACTTTTTCTATGAATCGTTAATTTTTGTGCGCTCGTTTCTTATTAAACTATACTAAAGAAATATGTTTTAGTAGCTATGGTTAAGAAATATAATATATCAATGGCAAACTGCGTGTATACAGTGAAAACTAAATAAATAAATAAACTGCGTACTGTTTCTTTAAATGTATTTAATTCAAATATATTTGTTATCAGACAGATTTATGGCAAGCGTAAAAAGATAAGTGATGGGTTTTCGTTGCCACAGCACTTTGACACTGGAGTTGTAAAATTTTCTCCGGTTCATCTTGTAGAACGTAGAAGCAACCTTGGCGGGACTGGATGTTGTTGTAGTTGTAACACAAAGGATTACATAAAAGTTTTTGACCAATATTGTTGAGGTGGCCGGAAATGAATCTAGTCGCTTTGGAACGGATCGGAAATGTTTTCCGGATGCAATCAAAATATTATGCCTAGCTTCCTGGGAACTCGTCCTACATTGTGCTCTTTTAATACTAAAGCGCGGCCCTTTTTGAGAAAATCTCGTAAGTTAAAACCGTTATAAGTTCGTGTCTACTGGTATATTTCGTTAGGTTTTCCTATAAAAACGCATATTTACTTTTTGGAAAAATTCATCTACCTTTAAGTACAATTTTTCTACAAATTAGGTACATTTGGATTTTAATTTTCCATCTCTGTCATATACCAATGTAACTTTGATCCAATACTTTTCGTGAAAAATCCTGTAAAACTGTCAAATAGCAAAATTACTCTCTGAAGTGAGAGTAAAAAGTGAGTAACAACAAAAAGTACGGGAACAAAAAAACCATTTTTCCTGTAAAAACGTCAACCAGTGATTGCTTGAAACTTTTCATGATTTTACCAGAAGAAAAAGTTCGGGTAAAATCTTGCAACTTCATTCTCTACACAACTCTCCAAAAGTCGCTCTCATTTACAGGATTTTGGAGGATTGTTGAGTACGGGAACATATTTCCTGCAACTTCCTGCAAGTTCGTGTAAAATCCTGTAAGTTCATGGAGTACTGGATCAGAGCTAATAATTGAACATAAACTTTTTGTTTAAGCGCATAAATTGTAATCCTCATAATTAAAAAAAAAAAACTATTAAGGACCATTTTCACAATCATTCGTTAACTAATTTACTAATGTACACCCAATAGTTATAACCAGCTTTTTTATATTAAATAACTAAAGACTGGGAAAAGTGCTGCAAATACATTTACAGGCCGATTCTGAACAGAAACTCCCTGGGAGTTTACTCTCTTTTCCCTTTCCTCCTTTCATGAATAAAAATTCCCAAGGGATTTTTTATATTAAAGTCACGGAAACAAATTCCCAGAGAACAAACTCCCCGGGAGTATTAATAATTGACCTGATAATAAATAAATTTTACATGAAAAAAACGAGCAAACGATGTTGCCGCGTTGCAACCCTAGTTAACCCCTATTTATTCCACCTGGAAAAGCTTGATGATATCACACATTTATCGTTGCTTATCGATAATTTGACATCCCCATCAATTAATAGAAAAAAATTGTTTGTATTGTATTTCGGAGGAATCTTTGGTATTTTGCAAAGAATTCGGTAGACGAAATTTCTGCATTCGATCCGAAATATCTGCTATCTGGTATGTTACAAAGCATTTGGATATTTTCTTAATTTTTTAATTGCTAATCAAAATTAATTTTAACTTTAGTCTATTCTGAGCGAAGGTATAAAAAAGTAATGAGCGATTGGTCGAAATCACACAAAAACGCCAGTAACGCAAAAGTCGAAAAAATGACGGAAGACGCATCAAAGTTTCTGGGTGGTATCCTTGGTGATATAAGCTCAAGATCTGCATATACGCAAATTGCAATTGGAGCCACATCGGGATGGTAAGTAATTGCTTTTTTGTGCTATGATCTAGCAATTTTTTTATACAGCCATCTTTGCATATATGTGAGTATTTGTAGGCTGGGAGTGGTGGCGTTTGTCATAGGACACTTCTAGTTTAGGCAAATATTAATAAATGACGTAATAGCCAAAATTATGAGAAATATTATGAGAAATGCATATATATTTGTTCTGTTCAAAGAAGCCATGTTGCAATACGTAACGAGGTGGAAATACATACGTAATCATGTGTAGCCCAAAAGTGATTAATCATAGTAGTTTTTTGAGCAATGTTGTAACAGCATAGAGATACATAGATATTAGGTTGAGGAATGCATGCGACCCCGAGATCTAAGGCTTGTTGGAGATGCAATCATAACCGCAGTGTTGCACGTATTATTAAAGCATCACGTTCGGTGTGAATTTCTAGCAACGTTTTATCAGTTGGGAAGTTGCAACAATATTGCAAATTTTCATCAGTGCTACAGTATTGCCGCTTTTACTACGTGCCTCGAACAGGCCTCTATTGTGCCCCCTTTTGTAACAGCATACAAGTTTGTCGAGAGTTTTTTAGAGATTGATACTGTAGTGACAATCCTTTTGGAGTGCTGCTAGAGTGACAGTCTTGGCCAGATATAAATCTGATCTGTTCCCCAAAGAGTTTTTTGGGGAGTGTTGCTGCAGTGACAGTCCTTGGCCAGATATAAATATAATAAATGTTCCCATATAAGTGTTTGAGTCAATCTGCTGTGGTAACACTCCAGCCGGAATGAAATCAAGTAGTTGCATTGGCACATTACCGCCTTTCTGTTGAAACCAGCATCAACAAACTCTTTTTTTTTGTGACATATTTCGGCCCTATTAGTCTATTACTATGTATTATAAATATCTGCAAATTTGGTTTTATCTAATATTAATTTTAATATCATTAGGATTACTGGCTTTGCAACAATGAAAATTGGAAAATTTGCGGCTTTTGCTATTGGCGGAGGCATTATTTTAATGGAGATCGCCCATCAAGAGGGCTTCATCGAGATTGATTGGTCTAAAATTACAGGAAAACTTGATAAAGTCACTGATAAAGTAGAAACTGCTGTTACTGGACAAGAAAAAAATTGGATTGAAAAGGTATGTGAAAAACTTTCTACAAGTGAGCAGAAACCCGTATTCATAAAACATTTGTGTAGTATGTACATACGTATTGTACATAAATGGATTTTCTTATTTGGCACGACCAACACCTTACATAGCCATCACCAGATTCAATCAGCTATTGCATGCTGAGTCTTTGCCCACTCATATATTGAAGAAAGTTTTAAGAATCGATCAGTCTCGTGAGAAATGTTATTTTGCTTGCTTAGCTTTTGTATCAAATTGGTATTATATAACACAGAAATAATCGATTTCAAAATTAACTGTATTGCATTAGAATCATACCAAAAACCGCTTTAAATATGTATGTAAATAAAGTTGCCACTAATCGTATTTTTTTTATTTGACCAGGCCAAAGTGTTTGTTAAAAACAACGCAGTTTTCACCGTAGCATTTCTTGGTGGCGCGCTTGTTGGAGTTGGCTGTGCATGAATTACTTTAGGATCAATGTTATCTATAGCAGGCTGTTAACCATGAATATTTTAGACTTCGATATTAAAAACATTATTATATCTTTTGCGTATGTTTGTAAATCGTTGTCTTTGGCTTTGCAATAAATTAATATAATAATAAGTGTTTTTATTTTTTTTTTTTTTTTGTAACACGTATTATAATATGTAGGCAGAAAATTCACGAGATCCCCTGCAAATATTTTTTGCGGAAGTATTTTGTTTCTTAACTCAAGAATAGAAAATGCGTGCGTCTTCAGCTTCCCAATGCATATAAGTGCACACTTATTTTTAAATTTTTTTTCCTCTTCACTTTCAGACTGAACGTTTTGTCGATCGTAAACTTGATCGCGCCGAAAACATACTGAAGTCAAAAACAAAGAAAGCCAAGAAATGGTATAGCAAACTAATTGGCGATGAAAATGGACCCAAGGTAAACGATCTTCACATCTTCTTGACAGCTTTTGTGGGCGGAATTGCATTAGGCGTAGCTTCGTCCTAAAGGAAATCTCAATATAACTTATGATGTTATTCTTATACCTAGATACTTGTCTCATTCATCACATGCTAATATAATTTAGTGTAACCGAGTTAACTCAACATTTGTTTATCAAAGCGAGAATATTATGATGTGATTGATATCCCAATAGCGCTTGCATTAAAAGAATTGTATTATCAATGAATTAAAATAAAACAAGTGAGCAGTGGTTTACGAAATTGCCACTGACCAGTTATTTTTGGAACATTTCACTATTCAAAACAAAAAAAAAACGTTTAAAAACTCAGCATCCTAACTAAATGAGTATATCTTAAACTAAATACAATTACTATTTAGATACGAATAACTTTTTTATTTAATAAATTTATTTAAATTTTATTGAATGCAGCAACATCTACACTTTGTACGTAATCCTCTAACTTTTCGATTTCTTCAGTTAGCCAATCGATAGAGACTTTATCATCTTCAACGACGCAGGAGATGCTAAGCTTTTGAATACCAAAAGCGACTGGCACAAACTTAGAAGCACCCCATAAAAGGCCATCTGTCTCGATTTTTCTTATTTCTGTTTCCATGACCTTAAGATCTGTCTCATCGTCCCATGGCTTGACATCTAAAATCAAGCTGGATTTGGCGATAATTTGCGGTTTCTTCGATTTCTTTGCAGCGTAAGCAGCCAGACGCTCTTCACGTATGCGCACGGCTTCGTCGTCCTCTTCTTCTTCGGATCCAAAAAGGTCGACATCATCATCGTCTTCTTCGGCAGCCACTTTTACAGGAGCGGCCTTAGCAGCAGGGGCGGGAATAGGGTTGGCTGATACAGCTCCAGATAATTCGGTGTTCACCTTTTTCTCTAAAGCTGTTATACGGTTTTGGGTTTCCAAACATACCGACTTCAAGCTCTCGACTAACTTTCTCAAATCGGCATTGTCTTTTTCTATAGCAGCAACGCGATCTAGGACCTCGCCAGACACTGGAGAAGAAGTCAGTGTAGTAATACCGTCCATCTATAAAATAAAAGTGTGGAATGAAACTTGTATTTTCGTTTGTCGTTTAACGTCATGTACCATAAATGAATGAGAAGCTATCCTATATTTGCAGATAAAAAAAAATATATATGTCCTACAACTGTTTAAAATTATACAAAACTACAGTTATGAACAATTTGACATACGTACATATGCATATATAGATAATTACCTTTTCTAAAGAATTTTTTATGTGCTCTCTGGCCTTGGCGATTTCCGAGACTAAAGTGCACTGACTGTTGGCCGCGGTACCCTTTAAAATAAGTAATATTTTTTTAGTATTTAAATTACCTAGTCAATTAATACTAACGGATAATAATTACTGATGCACAGGACAATAGGTAGTGTGGGATGAAATAAATAAGAAAATAATGTTTGAAAGCTTTTAAGTGGAATTCGAATCAAAAGCAAACAAATGTTTACAGCTTGTTTTGGGAGCAATCAAAAAATGTAAGAAGGACACACACACAAATATAAAAACAACTCATTTCTGCAACGTAGAGCTGCATGTATGTATATGCAATCCTTTAATTGTGAACAAAAAATTCGAAATTACTAAAAACCGCAACTTATACATTAAATACCAAAAATATGTATATAGTGATAACAAGCGCTTTTGTGGCGATGCTTAATAAAAAAGAAAAAAAGGTGGTACCAAGCCAAAATATCTATAATGAATAATCATCGCTAACCGACAAATCGGTATTTTTCTTAGCTGTTTTATTTCTCTTTTTGAGCTTCTCTCCAGTTGATTTTGCCCCCACTTTAGCTATTTCAATGGGTGCATTAACCTGGTGGCCGGTTAATAAAAGCCTCTCTTCGCTTTCAGAGTTTGTCGATATTTCCGTGACTTTTGCTATACTTTCATTCTTCTTGTTCTTGATTTTTTTGTTTTTTTTCTGTTTAGATGGGGGCTCTTGGACACCATTCAAGTGTCCGTCGCCACTTATCTGTTTATCCTCCTATGAGCAGCATGAAAGGAAATATAACTCCATATTAGATTTCTAATGATAAATATTGGACCGACACGTGTAACATTTTCGTACATGCATACGCATATAAAATATGTACATACCTACTTCGTAGGTGTTAATCAAACCCATTATGTAGTTTCTAGTTTTCAATCTCTTACCTCCTTGTTTAAAAATTCGTAATATTGACGTTCGGCATTGTGAAAGTTGGCTTTATCCACCCAGAATCGGTCTGCAGCTAAAGTTGTGGCCATTTTTATTTTATATATTTTTGTAGTTACTAGATCCGCAAATTTCGCTACGTCAGTCGTGCGATGTATGCCACAGTATTTTCATGAACGATTCATGCAGTATTTTAGTAAATGCACGACTAATCGAATAACCGATTATAATCGGTTATTTTCATTCGATTAACGATTTAATTATATCGAAATTTTCCTTTCAATTAATCGAGCGATTAACCGATTAATTTTGAAAATAGTCGGAAAGAAATCATCAAAAATCTACTACTTTACTCACACAATAATGTTTGAATCAAAATTCCGTAACAAAATTGGAATTCTTACCACTCAATAATATAAGCAACAATAAAAAGGGTCCACTCTACTCGAAATTTTACCATTATCGTTTTCTGCAAATTTTTTAAACGATATTTTTGCAAAAAAACCGCAACACAAGTTTTCCACAATTCAAAACACTGCAAGCCGCGTTTCAAACGCGTCGAAACAGAGGAACATGGAATGTTCGAAAAGTTCGCAGTGACGGAATCGTGGAAGTGTGTACTAGCTCATTAAAATATATGGGTAGCATTGTTGTAATTTTTGGCTCTGCGCATTGGGACCTGTCACACGGTCAATATTTATCGACGTGATCCAAGTATCGCGATATTTACCGTCAATAAATAGTGAACGTACGTGTAGCACTTTCAAAACGCGATCCATACTAGTAGTGGATAACTCAGCTCTGTGCTGAGTTAGGCTATCTGCACACTTGTCGTCCAATCATAGTTGCGTTATCGTCTCGCCCTGAAATTTTGAGCAGAGCACATGCATTTCAAAGGAGATCTGCACACTTGTCGTTATCGGCTAGTTATCGGCAAATCGTAGAAGATGCAGAAACGGATAAGTACGGCACTGTCGTTTGCTAATCGTTGTGCACGCATTGTTTGTTTACATTTTATAGGGAAAAATTAGTAAAAAAGTTAATAGTTGCATTAAAATTGCATAAAAATTAGTATTTTTTGCATAAAATCTGTGCAAATTATTAAAAAGTGGATAATTGCATTAAAATTTAATAAATGTGAGCGTTTTAACTATAAAATATGACGAAATTGTATTAAGTCTCTGTGTGCATACACAAAACACATTCCAGGAAAAGAAAAGAAGAGATATTACTGGAAAATGATGTCTAGAAATGTTGCAGCACAGTCTATATTTTAAAAATTGCAGGTTTTTGTAAATATTTCGCGAAAATATCAACCAAAAAAAACAGAAAATACCTGCTCCAAGTGAATTTTTAGACGCCAAATGAATTGAAATATCACGACCGAGTGTGCGAAAGTGTAGTCGTCATGTAATCGTTGCATCATGGTTGTGACGATGAAGCAACTATGATTGGACGACCAATGTGCAGAAAGCCTTACTGTGCTGACTCTTAGAACTGTGCCGCACGCTCAGACTCACCCCTGCAAGAACAGTGACCATCATTTGACAAATCATTTGACTGGCAAGGCTGATAGAGATTTCTGTCACTGGCTACCTACAAGTTTCTATCACATTCTAAAGGGCAGTGTGAAAAATCTGATGTAAACATTTGTGTACATATGATCTTCCGTCTTCCTCCAACTTATGGCCTTATATATTGGTCTCTTTTTAACCAACGCAAAATTTGCAAATGTGTTAGTAAGATAAATGAGAATGTGTTAGTTTCCATCACACAATTCTTGTAGGGACCTCTGAAAAAATTTGTAACTCAGTTTATGTGCTGACAATGTATAGCTCAGTAAGCTAAAGAGCCGATATGGTAAATCCAAGGTGTATTAAACAAGGTGGTGTTGGGGCGACAGCTGAGTTTTTCGCCGTGGAGGCCATTACGTCAAAATGATGTGTTTGTTGTAACTCATACCAATGACACTATGGACATCAGCGTATAATTTGTTAGTGTAATTTTTTACTTATATACGGCCAACACCACCTTGTTAAATACGCCTTGGGTAAATCAGTTGATGTGCTGACACTGCATAGCTCGGTGCGGCTTGCATTGTTTAGAACTGTGTCGATGTGGTAACTCAATTGATGAGCTCACACATTCATACAATACGATCTTCCAAAAAGTATCATAATAGGTGGCATCACTAGACCCACCTACGACTACTAAATTTAAAAAGAAGCAAGGCGTATAGCCTAGTTATGTTGCACTGCTATACCATTTTTACGTAAAAATCAAAACCAAACAGAATTCTACATGTGAAGTGCTATGTGTTGGGTAACCGCTAACATGCATAGCCCATTTAACAGATTCTTATGTGACAACTCTCAAGCAAAACTAAGTAGGGAATTATTTTGCAAATGAACTCACCAGTTGAAATCAGCTTTCTAAAATTTTGCCGGCCAGCTACGAACAGAAGCTAAGGATAACCTTTTCCAAATCGATTTTGATTACTAACATCATCAATAATTTCGATGTACATACCAATTGTGCGATAGCACACTTGTGCCAACTCACTGTGCTGGCTCATTAGCCCTGTTCGCGTACGCACTATCCAGTAAATCCAGTACTAATTTTACTGGTGTTTTACTGGATGTCGTTTTCGTACGCAAAAACTTGCAAGAAACTAGCAAAAGAGGGAAAATTGAGAGAGCAAAAATGACAGCTGAACCTGCAAGTTTCACTGGATTTTTACTGGATAAATTTTTACTAGCAACTATTTGCTAGTAAGAAAAACAGCTGATGGCATGATACTTATTGTAAATCACATTAAGAAAATAATTGTTTGTGGTGCTCTTAGAGTTGCAATTGAAAAAATAAACCTATTTTAATATATAATAAGATGGAAAACACTAGTTTACTAAGAAAATTGCATCGGAAAATAACAAATTAATCAGCTGTTCATAAAACTAGCAACTTCTTGCTGGTTTTGCGTTTTCGTACTTTCTTGCATATTTCACTCATTGGGAGTAAATATTGGCTTACTCTCCGAAATTTGGTTACTGGTAAGTTACTGGATATTTTTTGCTGGAGAATACGTAAACACAACTATTAAAGTGAGTTGGAGTTACTGAGTCAACACACCAAAATTTACAGAGTTACCCACCCTTAATCCATACACTTCGTCAGTACATCTTTTACTCTCATAATGGGAACATCGGCTTAAAATCGTTCAAAACAAATTGAACAAATTTTAATTAACATTGGAAATTTTAAAATGATTGTGGAATGCATTATCTGTAAATTATACGCACAAAATAAAAATATTTTCTTGCGTCATAATAAGCGTTCAGGCACAAAAATTATGCAAATACTGACGAGATAAATATTGAACATGTAGCATTCGTCCGCGATCCATCATCAATATGGATCGCGATCCAAATATCGTGATAATTACTGACCATGTGACAGGGCCCATTCGCAATGTCAGATACTACTAAAATTCATTCACATTTCCCGTACTTAAAAATAAATATTAGCTTTAATTTATTTTATGATTAAATATTTACGGACCACACCTCAAATTCTTCAGCTGAAATTAGTCAAGAACGTAAACCTACCGGTACGTAAACCCGAGTCAGCTGACACGATCTGTCTTACCAAAGCGCCATGTAAATGAAAACTCAACACCGCAGAATTTTTCTGTAGTTGTAGCCCGTAGCGCAAAAATCTGCGGAATTTAGATTTTTCCGTGTCAGCTGATTTCTCCTTCTTTAGATGGTTGCCACTTCGTCAGTTTTACAGATGGTAAAAAAGATATAAGTTCCTACTCAAAATATTGTTACGATTATCCTCGAAACCTTGAGGGATTTCCCAAATATACT